AAAAAAAAAAAAAAAAAGAATTATTTAAAATTCATGTCCTAAATAAAGACTTTCTCTTTACTTTTTTTTTTGCAAACTTTTAGAGGGCCCCTGAGACTTCTCAAATAAATTTGTTCTCTCTTCATATAAAGAGGAAGATACTAATTAGGCTTGTTTTGTATGCTAGATTTCATGGGAAGCATTGTCAAGTAAATGATGACAAACCTTCATAGGTTATACTGCATAGGTAAATATTATTCACTATCTTAACACTGCTACCTTGCTTCCAGCACTCCAAGAGGAAAACACCATGACACAACTGCATTCTATTATTTAACTTGGTTTACAGACAGGTCTCACTTAAATGGTAAGCAAGCACATTATCAAGCTGGATAGGCTGTACAGCCTTGAGAATGTGTGCTACTTTCTATTAACTCTGCTAACCCAGAGAAATTGTCATGGAAGAAAAGAAGTAAAAGTGTCAACAAAAGGGGGTAAACAATATTTTTGGAAACTTTCTCCCACAGTGGCTCATAAAACCTATACTCATTGTACTAGATGCCCAAAGTATAATCTACAGAAACTATTTCATGAATCACAAGGCCACTTTCCTCTTCCTAAGTGACCTTTAGAGATAAGGCAATTGGACTTAGTTGTTATGCTACCATCTCAAGTATATAAATATATCCTTGTAATGATCTGTATGTTCTTACAGTGGGTTGAGGCTTTTCCTTACAGAAGAGCAATGGCTTCAGGTAAATTATTATTTGAAAGGATAATTCCCATTTGAGGAATTCCAAGAGAGTTACACAGTGAAAGGGAAGCTCATTTCACCAGACAAATATTTAAATCTATTTGTGACATTTGGCCAATAATACAACCTTATAACTAATGGCATGATTAAAAGTCAATTGTCAAAGCTTTCAGAAGCATTTAATGTCCCATGGCCTAAAGCTCTTCCACTAGTACTCTTCAGTCTTAGCTCTATTCCCTTTGGTAAACATCAGCTGCCTCTTTTCCAGATAATAATCGGACAGCCTATGCAATTAGATGAAGGAATGTATGAACCAACTTTGCTTAAAGGAGATATCTTAATTATTGTCAATGTCTCATTGAGACACTTACAAGAAATGAGATGTTGGTAGCTGATTTTTTCACAGTGAGCTCTTGGGAGATGAAGACCTTTAGGATCATGAACTACAACTCTGAGATTTTGTTTATTGGAAAAGACACCAGCTGGAAGATTCTTTGCAGTCCTGTTTGAAAGGACCATACCAAGTACTTTTAACCAATTAATACATTACAGAATCAGAAGGCATAGACTCATGGATTCACATACCTCATTTTAAATAAAAAAAGTCTTCTCCACCTGAGTGGGTTTCAGTTCCTATTCCTGTTGGCTGACTTCAACTGACCAATGCAAGTATCTTCAAACCAGGATGAGTAGAAGATGGCATCTGTTGTAGACAGCTCTCCCAAGACCCCCCACCAGGCCTGTATTCCCAAACTTAGATCTCCTCATTTAAAGCTTTGTAAAGCTTACACTACATACCTATTTTATAATTATTCAATTTAAAGTTTTCAGAATACTATCATACTTAAATTAAGTGATTGATTTGGAACAGACTGGTCTCAAAGGACAGGCATGTATCAGGTGGCTCTTAATCTAACTCACTGGTTATGTGGAACAAATTTCTGGCCCTGGCTACTGCCTGAATGGCTCAAACACTGTACCCTGAGCCTCCCTTGGATGCAGAGAAGTAGTAACACTGAGTTAACATCTGTTGTCAATCTTCTACTCTTTAAGGCCAGATGGGTTCATTCACTGTTCCACTGGTATGGCCACCTGGTTGCTATATTTATTCCTTCCTTGGAGCTAGAGGATTTAATATCATAAATAGAAGCTCTGACTAAATTTATTCAACAACCTCTTAATTATAATCAAGCAGGAATAGCCTTATTAAATACCAAAAAGTCCTTAATGAAAAAGGATCTCCTTCATAAAAGAACAGCCTTAGATTTTTGAACTGCATCTGCTAAAGCATATGAAAAAGCAGGTGAATGTCTTAAATGAATATTTTATAATTGTAAACAGTGTAAGCATGGGGAGTCATGTGAAAGCACATGTACAATGTTTGTGCAAGAACCTAAAATTTTATAACCTATGAAATGTTTTCTCTGTTAATATATACCTCTGTGTTGTCTGCTTCCCACCGTTGTGGATAACTGGGCAAATAAATGAGGTAGCACCAGTTGACATAATGGACTCAGTAGTCACGCTGATGCTGAGGAACAATATTTTTTATCATCAATGCTTTCTATAGAAAATAATACATCAAAAGGGGGAATTTGATGAAAAAATGAAAAACAGTGGGACATATTGGAGTATGTGTGGAATCTATCTGGTTTAAAATTAATTCAGCCTGACATTGTTTTTCCAAAATGGCTTTACATGGCCTGTTGAGCAAGCATTGTACATCTGCTTTAAATATTTACTATATCCCAAAGACAAGAATGATGCCGCTAAGGATAGGGATGTAACTTCCATACATATCTGTATTTCTTTAAGGATAAACACCTCTTCCTGGGAACCAAGGATTAATTACATCTGCTGTGCTCGTCTTGTGACCACTGACCTGCTGCCCACTGTTCTGCTGTGCCAGCTAAGCATTTTGTGACCGTTGTAAATGGGACATTCCTATTACATATGAAGAATGTTTTTTGTTCCAAGATTATATATCACCACTTTGTACACCTATCTTCTTTGTTGCCCTTCCTTCCATGGAGAAGGAGGGCCCCAGGCTAGTCCTCAGATCTGTCTCATAATAAACTCACCTCATTTTTGATGTATAGATTGATTATGGATTATTTGCATCAACAATGTCCACATACAAAAAAAAAAAAAGAATCTAGTGACATACTTTATGCCTTTCACAAAAATTAACTCATTACTGATAATAGATTAAATGTAAAATGAACAAACTGACAAGAACTTCTGGAAGTATCTCAGAATGGAATCAGTTTCATCAGTAATACAGCTATGAATATTAGTGTAATATGTTACAACCCAGGCCTTACAACTTATGAAAGATACCTAAGATGTTTAGATGTTTTTATTTTCAATTAGAATAATAAATATCCTACCAACTACCCAGCCACCAAGTGATCTAGAAAGACTCATTCTGTGACATATCTCTCTCTATTTTTACTATCCTTTGAAGGTCAGCCTCTTGGGATTCAGGCCAAGTTACACCATCAGTTACGGATGTAAAAAAGTTGTTCTGTGTTTTGGGCACATTGAAAAGTGAAAAAGTTTGGATAAGTTTATAGCTATGAGTATAAAGCTTACACTCACATATATATATATATATTTCAATACAAATATATATATATATAGGTCCACTCTACATTAAGTGGGGGGCAGGTAGAAATGAATTAATGAATCTTTACTACAATTCTGGAATGACTGAATTTTAACAAAGACTTCTTCCCATCCCAACACTATCCTTCCTCTCACAGAAAAGAAGCTTCTCTCCAGCTTCCAGCTGCAGTGGTGTGTCAAGATTTCCACCACCTTCCCTGTGGTATTGAGGTAATGAGGACTTGTCTCTCTATCCCCTTGATGGCAATGGAGGCCACTTGTGGAGAACTAACAAGGCACACCTACAACTAGCAGCCAGGGTAGTTATCAGTGGAGGCCTAGTAGGGAGCTGGAACTCCCCCCACACCCACCCCTCCCCCCACCCACAGCAGTAACAAGAAGTGCATCCCACCCACTCCAACCCATGAAGTGTCAACAGAGGTCAAATGGGGAACCCAAATCTGAACTTCCATCCCACCTGGCAGTAACAAAGTGGCACTCCCTCTTCACCTGCAGGAGCCACGGGAAACAGGAGGCTTAAATAAGATCCAGAGTCTTATAACATAGTAAGCAAAATGTCCAAATCAACTGAAAATAATTCACCTACCAAGAGCTACAAAAATCTCAAACTGAATGAAAAAATAGTCAATAGACGCCAACATCAGAATGACAGAGATGAGAGAATTATCTGACAAAGATGTTAAAACAGCCATCAGAAAAATTGTGAAGACGTTGTTTATGTGAGTTCGCATATGTCTGGCACCAGGTTTCCCCTGTTATTAACATATGGTAAGTTTGTGACAACTGATGAACTAATACATTGTTGCTAATTAAAGTCCATACTTTACTTAACTTCCTTAGTTTTACCTAACGTCCTCTGTCTGTTCCAGAATCACATCCAGGATACCATATTACATTTAGTTGTCATTTTTCCTTAGGCTCCTCTGGACTGTGACAGTTTCTCAAGACTTTCCTCTCTTTTCATGAACTTGACACTTTTGAAGAGTACTGGTCAGGATGAATTTACCTCACCTGGGATTTATCTGATGTTTCTCTCATGATTGTAACAGGATTATACATTTGGGGAAGGAAGACTGCTGAGGTAAAATGCCATTCTTGTCATATATTAAGGGCACATACTCTCAACCTAACTTACTACTACTGATGTTGACCTTGATCACCTGACTGAGGTCATGTTTGTCAACTTTATCCCTTGTAAAGTCACTCTTTTTCACCATTTACATACTGTATTCTTTGGAAGGAAGTCACTATGCACTAGGTAATCTTTTCAGACTTAAGGAGTGGAGAATTATGCCCCACTTCTTTGAGGGAATAGTATGTACATAAATTCTTTAGAATTATTCTACATGGGAGAGCTGTTTCTTCTTCTCCGTTTATTTATATTTTCAATCACTTATGCATGTCAGTATGGAATCATAGTCAGGGATATTTATTTTACACTTTGGATTATAATCCAATATACCTAATTATTATTTTTTTGCTTAAATTAACCCAGCTTTGGTCATTGGGAGATCTTTCAGTTGATTCTTGTGTCTCTTTGACCTACCTGTAACTTTTTGTCTGCTTGTTTTGAGTATTTCTCTATGTTCTGGCAGTACAAGTTGTTCTGGGTTTATCGTGTATATTTCCTGCTCTAGTTCCAGAATGAGGCATTTCTCCAAGGATCTTTGGCTCCTTTTATTGGAGAATGATATTAAAAACCAATAGCTGATGCCAGGTGTGCTTATAGTTGCTGGAGTGTGGTTGCTTCTAGGCAGTCTCAACCAAGAGTGTAAAGAAATATCTATTTGTTTAACAACCCATATACACACACACATATCTATAAATATTTTTGTATGTAACCATTTGTGTCTATCCCAAACTAAACATTAGGTCATTTTGATGTCTCCAACTCTAATCCATCCCCACATGAATCATTCCAAATTTTCCTTCCTCCACTCTAATAGTCAGAAACCTGGCTCCCACCATCTACCACCCATTACACAGTAGTTCAATTCCAGCGTAGATGTATGGCAGTGTCTGAATTTTTAGATTTGTATTACAGAATAAACAACATTGTTAACCTGAGTGCAATGCTTTTGCACAGTGCTTTATCTTTAGAGTTAGAGAAGGCTCTCATTCCCAAAGTTACTTAGGTCAGCCCTTTTCCCTCATTGCCTTCAATGAAGTTTCTTGGTACATTTATAATACTGTTAGAATGTTTTGTCACATTCGGATTCCATCCTGGGGTAGCCCTGACTTCCTAAATCGTTTCTCTTAATTTTCAGAGTGAAACTTAGTTCACTGTTGTGAACTTGTGCTGCAAAGTTCTAAGGGTTTTAATAGATGTTTCATCTCATACAGAATGGTTTCACAGCCCTATCACATTCTCTGTTCTTTCCCTCACTCAGCAAAGCCTGGCAACCACTGATCTTTTTAATGTCTTGATATTTTTTCCCTTTCCAGAATGCCATGGATCTGGAATCACACAGTGTGTAACCTTTTCAGACTGACTTCTTTCATGAATCCATATGAATTCAAGATTCATACGTGTCTTTTTGTCGCTTAATAGCCCATTTCTTTTTATCTCTGATTATAGTTTACTACATGGATGAACCAAAATTTCTTATCAGCTCACCCTTTGATGGACATCTTGGTTACTTCCAGTTTGGGGTGATTGTGAATAAAGCTCCTACATTTCGGGTAGGAGTTTGTGTGGAGATCAGCTTTCAAATCAGTTGAGTAAAACTTATGAAGTCATATTTGAGAAAGGCACAAAAGTTGTTTAATAGAGAAAGGACAGCATTCCGAACAAATGCTGCTGGAGAAATGGGACATAGACAAAACAAAAGCAAAAAAACCTTGACCATCTCACAGGTTTTAGAAAAATTAACTCAAGATGGTTCGTGGATGTAAATATTAATGTGAAACTATAAAATTTTGAGAAAAGAGTATTGGAGAAAATCTTTAGCATCTCTGGCTATGTTAAAAATCCTTAGAACTGACTCAAAATTCATGATTCATAAAAAGAAAATAAATTGGACCTCACACGAGTGAAAAAATTGCTCTCTAAAAGATCCTGTTAAGAGTTTGAAAAGACAAGCTGTAGAATGGGAAAAAAACATTTGGAAACCACATATCCAACAAATGATAACTTCAAGAATGTGTTAAAGATTCTCAAAACTCAACAGTAAAAACAATCCAATTAGAAGGGGCATGAGGCAAACATATCACTGAAGGAGATGTAAAAATGGCAAATGAGCACATGAAAAGATCTTAATCATCATTAGCTCCTAAAGAATTGCAAATTAAAATCACAATGAGCTGTCAAGATACACTTAACAGAATGGCAAATGTAAAAAATAGTGACAACTATTTTTAGCTAATGCTGACTAGAATGTGGATGAGCTAGATCACTCTTCCATTGTGGATCAGAATGTGTAGTGTTACAGCCACTCCGGAAAACAATTTGGCACTCTCTTATAAAAACTAATCTTGCAACTAGCGTATGATCCATCAATTGCACTTGAGGACATTTATCTCGGAGTAATGAAAACTTATGTTTTCTCAATAATCTATAAACAGAAATGTTTGTAATAGCTTTATTTGCAATAGCATCAAACGAAATAACCCAGATGTCTTTCCTTGGGTGAATGGTTAAAAAAAACTGTGGTATACCTACAGCATGGAATTATACTCAGTAATAAAAATGAAAGAATCATTGATTTATGCCACAATCTCGAAGAATCTCCAGGGAGTTATGCTGAGTAAAAAGCCAATCCCCAATAGTTACAAACTATATTATTCCATTTGTGCGACATTCCTGAAAGGACAAAATTGTAAAAATGGAGAACAAATTAGCAGTACCAGAAGTTAAGGAGGAGGTGGGGGCTGGAAGGAGGAGAGTGTGGCTCTAAAAGGGCAACATATGGGGACTGTGTGGTGACGGAAATATTCTGTATCAATGTTGATATTGCACTATAGTTTTGCAAGATGTTGCTATTGGTGAAATTAGGTGAAAGGTAGAGGAGATATCTCTGTATTATTTTTACAATTTTATGTGACTATGCACTTTTTTCAAAACAGAAAAAAATGTCATAAAAAAGGTCATTGATTCTAATAGGATTAAGTGGATTGACCTTGAGGAATTAGGAATGCTAAGGCAAGATTTATGACTCAGCAGGGAACGTCCACTGGATTTTAAGCTGAGGGAATATGAAACGAATCCTTATTTGAACTAGGTAACATGAGAGCTTAGAGTAAGAAGGTAATTTGGCAGTTAGCCAGTTCCTAGGAAAATAGTAGAATGTCAACTTGGGAGTGGGATTCAGATCAGTGGGGCTACTGACAACTATAGAGAAATTTATAATCCTTATGACCATCGGAAAATTAAATTCCAGACTTTTGGATGGGGACAAATTCATAGGAATTATTTAACTGTCTTCAATTAAAGGCATGGAGCAAAGACAATTAATTTAGACAGGTGTGTGACACACGAAAGTCCTTGATCAATAGATTATCTACCTATTCATTTTCCATTATTATAACTATCCATCTAGATACATGTTCATTTTTTTACCTATCCATCATCTATCATCTAACTATCTATATATATACCTAATCTAATAATGTGTCTATCTATCTATCTATCTATCTATCTATCTATCTATCTATCTATCTATGTATCTATCTCAACAGGCTGTTTGAGGCTGTCTGCCTGAAAGCAAGCTAGAGGTATTTGATTATAGTTTCTTCTAGTCCCATTTTAAAATAAATGTCAGATGGCTTTGTGACATCCCTCACCAAAAATTTACAAAAAAATAAACCAGGAGTCAGGGACCATCAAGATTAACTACTTATGCTCCCCTTCTAAGTGAAGCTCTTGACACATGGAGAAAAGACAGGCATTTATTTTTATTGAAGTGTCTTCGTAATGAAAAGACGAGAATAAAAAGAACACGAAGCTGGAGCATGCATGTCGCTCTGGGAAGTCTGAGTCTTAAATCTTAACCATTTTTCTTTACTCTGTCCACATAGCTGTAGTATCAAACAGCATTTCAGAGACTTCCCACAGAGAGCAACAAATTCTTCATTTTTCTGACAAGATTTCTTGCATCTCCCTTTAAGATGGTAGCATTTCTCATCAAAGAATGCACTCCTGGCTATGCAAGGGAAGGAAACACCTGGATTAATTATCTTCTCAGATATGTCTAATTACCAGCTACAGTCATGGAACTAGTTAGTGAAGATCTGTTTATGAGCTGTCCTAGTGCCTTATCCTGCCAGTAGATGAGATAGCAGGGGAAATATTTTCTTTCTGAGTTTTCTGTCTTTTCGTCATAGACGATGAAAGACCAGACAGAATAGACTTGTCTTCCAGCATTTTGGATTAGGCTTGGTGGGGGAGATTTGGGAAAACAGAAGCTATTGTCTTTTTATAAAAATCTGTTGAGGTAATAATCAATTTGTTCCTATAAACACCTCCAGAGTCAGTAACTTCTCAATGTACTCCCAATGTGCTTCTTGGTGAGAGAAGAACCAGACCTGAGACTGGGGAGATGTCCCGAGACTGGAGTGAAAAAGAATAAGTACATAGAAAGAAAAAAATCTTACTGTAGTGGGTAGTAAAGAGAGTGCTTAGAAAGGCTCAATCTGATTTCTCCTCCATGTTCCATCAAATGTGTTCAAGAGCAGAAAAGGGGAGGGCGTTGGGAGTCACTCTCCAACACTTCTCTAGTGTCATTCTGCATAAAATACGGGTTCTGGTCTTAGTACTTTATCAGTAGTAATCATAAGAGCAGGCAGTTCCAAGTTAAGGACAGACAACATATCAGAATCAACATTGTAGAGTTGACTAATTTGGGTATCAGTCATGAAAGTGTCAGATGGACACAAATTGCAATTAATGTCAACATATAATGGTGCCTAATTAACATATATGTAAAACCAAAACCAGATGGATTAGTGCTAGCAAGTGCACTAATTATATCTAGCATCACCATATAAGTTCATAAGTATATATACTCCATTGTTTCAGAGCTCAAAGAGCAGTAGCTCCCACAACAGAGGTCTGTACTCTCTCAGCCCTCCTAATATTGTAAGACTATCTCAGGCTGGAGGTACTGGATCTCACTCTGACAAGAGTCCTTGTATTGGATCCAGTTCACAGTGATGGCCCAGAAAGAGAAAGCCTCTGGAAAGAAAAAGAGCATCCATGCCTACAAGGCTTCTAATGGATGATCACAGAAACCCACTTAGAGGTTAATATAACCTTGTGTGAGTGTGTGTGTGTGTGTGTGTGCGCGTACATATGGCACATTAATAGGTTAACATTAACAGGCACATTTCATTTGGTGACATCAGGTAAATTTATATTATATAACTTTATATTGTGTTCTAATTATATAACAAGTATGAGTGATCTGAAAAGGATACCTTGGTCGGTTTCCAATGTGTACATGAAAGTCAGTGGAATGAATGGCTCCCTGTACATCCTAGATCCCCTTATACTTGGCACAGAATCTAATCACACAGGCTTATTACAAAACAGACCAGACACATGCGGAGCTGGTGTGAAAATTCTGAGCATCACAGAGGATACCACTAACACCTGGCAGAATTTTGGGCTCCTCGTGGGCTCTGGAAAGCCCTGTCTTCATCTCCCAGGAACCTGAAATGAGTCTAGTCTTGGACTTTAATTTTGGGGAGGGTCAAACTTGAACCATTGGAGGTCACCTAGAGGAGCAGAGACTGACCAGAGTTCTGACATGGGAAGGACAGCTCCTCTCACTGTAGTAAGATAGAGTTGTGCTCAATTCTGGCTTCACTCCTGCTCCTCTATATTACCTTGAGAAGATGCTTAGCTCATCTAAGGCTCAATTTCTGCATCTGTAAAATATATGTAAAAAGAGCCTTCCAAGCCAAAACAGTTCTGAATATCACTAAATTAGAGTTATGACTCAGTGCCTTCAAGGCACTGGCATTGGAGAACTAAATGCATTTTATTACGTGGACTTTTTGTCATAGCATCCAGCTTTATAGTATGTGATTGAGAAATGGCAGCTTAAGTTTTGCTATTTTACATAATGCCATGACTGGCATGAATATACAGTGTCTCTAAGCTCCATTCCATTTCTTGTTCATTTCTTCCTTTCTCTGTCTCTCTTCTTTATCTATCTTAATTTCTATCATATCTATGTTTTAAAAGATCAGCTATCCTTGCTTTTAATATTTTTTTCCTTTTTTTTTTTTTTCAGTGAACATGAGACCTGGGACCAAAAAACATCTTTCCTGCCATGTGTTTATTTCTTCAAATCTGTGACACCCATCCTAGATAACAATGAAGAATGCAAAGTATTTACGGAAGCATTAGAGGAAAGTTGACTCCTGCAGCAAATGTTCCCCTACAGGGCCACTGGCCAAAGGGGCCTTTCCATTCTAGAGTTGATCGCATCCAGGTACTCACTGAGGCAGATCCCCCTCTCTGGGCCTCCAATTCCAATAACCTTCCCTGCAAAGGAGCTCATTTTACCTGGGACCAGGAAGCAGAGAACTGCAAAGAGAAAGAGGAATGTCTTCATGACTTGCCAGGTCTTGAGAGGTCAACACAGTATCCATGAGAAAGAACAGGAAACACCCACATTTATACATTTCTCCAGACCAAATAGCATCTTGATCATTGAGACATGTTAAAAATGTGGATGTCTCCATGCTCTAATGAGTAAAGCACACATATCTCAGTGGGAGTCAGTCTACAGCTCATCATTTTTCTGATTCTGGAAAGTTCCCAAGGAAAATGGAGATTAAGGGAGGATAGAAAAGGGTGTACATTGATGACAAAGAGTAGGACTCCTCCTTGAGTCAGCAAGAAGGAAAGTGCTGGATTCTGGTGGTTTGGATTTGTAATCCTGACTATGCTCCTTAACAGCCTCAGTTTAGTCTAATGACAGACACAAGAACACAGAGACAGAGATAGAGGCAGAGAGAAAGCAAAAGCAAGGTAGAGAGAAAGAGGGAGTTAGAGCCATAAGGGAAGAGAGATTGGAAAAGATACAGATGTGAGAAGGTGATAATTAAAAGAGACAGACCACTCAAGAGAGACTGAAATGAGGAAAACTATTTGTTGACACATTATGATTTTTCTTTGCTGAGCTAATGGGTGTGGTTTTGCAGTGGGTCTGCAGGTTGATACCTGGAGCTGCCACATCGCCCAGGGAAGAGGCACATATCAAAAGAGCCAAGGATGTGAGACTTGTGATAGAAAATTCTGGCAGCCTGTGACACTAAGCACATTTGTCTTGAAGAAAATCCAGTTCTGGAGAGGCTACAGAGAACCACATGGACAGAGGCCAGACTTATCCTGTTGGAAAGGAGTGTGCCCCATCCTAGCCATCACAGGGTCTCTCCTGTTCAGTGAGCCATGGTGTTCATAGCAGCACGGACATGAAAACCAGGTGGTCCCAAAATATCAACCTCTAGGAGACTTAAAATCCAGGCCATTATCAAAATTATTTTTCTAAAATATTTACTGTGTTTGAAAACATTTAGATATTTTGTTGATTTTTCCACCAGTTTTTATACGGGGTCATCAGGTTGACTAATTCCATAGCTGGGTGTGCAGCTCTGAGAAGGTGTTGCAAACTCTGTGTATGTGCACATAACTAGCGTGCTAAAGCTAAAGCAGAGATCTGGCACCAGGCCAGAGTATTTCCTAAAACATGCATGTCCTGTGAATATTTACCAAAAAACACAAATATCCCCTCTACAAAAAATAAACATTAAGTTATGGTAATTTGAGTACACACATAGATATATACACATATCAGCAGTACATGCACTTATTATATAGACCATATTTTTTAATGAGCTGATAATTCTCAGCAGTCAGAAGAACTAAAGCACAAAAGCAAATGACATAAATACATGTAAAAATGTGTCCAGTATGAGTGTAAAAAAGGTGAAGAGGAAGGAAGTGGAAGGAGAAAGAATGAGAAAGAGAAAAGGATTCATAGGGATTGTGGTAGAGGGTACTGGCACCAAGTGAGAGGGGCAGTGATGATCTGCAGGAGGAGGGAAAAGAGAGAGTTTTCCAAGGCTCATATACATCAGGAGCAGAGGGAATATAAGACAAAATGTAGGTTCTATCTGAGCTATTGTGAATTCTGTAATTTTGAGTATGTGTGCGTGTGTGTGTGTGTGTACGCGTGTGAGTGCAGAACTGTGTCTTTTCCTGTAAAGATGGCGGGTGGTATGAGAAGTCTTCTAGGTGTGTGGCAGGAGAGGGAAGAGCATAGGAGCTGTGGCAAGCCCAATGTACATCCAGCCCAGGCTCTCAGCCGGAGACTCTCTGAGGTCCGTGGGGCAGAGCTCATGGGTGCAGATCTTATGACACAGCTGGCATTTCACAGGGCAGATTGAGCCCAAAACTGGTTAATGTCCTGGACTCAAGTCATAACGAGAGGGTAAAAGAACACCTTTCCTCTGTTTTAGGGATGATCTCAAAGCAAGATCAAGCATCATTCAAGCGGTCCATTAAAGCCCCTCAGAGCCAGGCCTTATGAAGAATTGAGACAGGCCAGGGAAAGATAATGAGTGAGGGTGCTGTAGTGCATTAGGGAGCTCACATGTTGTGCAAGGGGTGAGAGACTTTGGATACACTTCGATGGCATCGTGTAGGAATGTGGATCCTAGTGGTTAAATCATCGAATTTTTCTGAAGAAGCCAGAAATCTGGATTTTTATGCAGAATCTTCCTTTAAATGTTCACAATTAATAGAAAAACAAGTTAGTGGGCTATATTTTATCCATGGGTTTCCAATTCATGATTCTGGGTTCGACGCAGGAGTCAGTTTGACTCAATTCAAAAACTATGAAGATTTAGACCTGTAATAATTTGGAAATTCATGATTCTTTTTGTCATTTTAATTTTTTGTTTATTGCAGTAACATTGGTTTATAACATTGTATAAATTTCAGGTGTACATCATTATACTTTTATTTCTGCATAGATTACATCATGTACACCACCCAAATACTAATTACAACCCATCACCACACATGTGTGCCAAATTATTCCTTTCGCCCTCCTCCCTCCCCACTTCCCCTCTGGTAACCACCAATCCAATCTCTGTCTCTATGTGTTTGTTTATTGTTGTTATTATCTACTACTTAATGAAGGAAATCATACGGTATTTGACCTTCTCCCTCTGACTTATTTCACTTTGCATAATACCCACTTGTCCCTTTGGCAGGCAGAGAGGAAATGGAGGGCCAAGAATGGGTCAGAAGCTAACTTAAATTGACACAGTAAATTTGTCAAAACACTGGGACTGGAACACGGGTATCCCAATCTATTGTAAAGTATTGTTTGTAATATACCTCACTACAGTAGTTATCCATTGGTGCATGACAAATGATCCCAAAACTTAGTGGCTGAAAACAACAAACATTGTTTATCTCACAGATTCCATGGATTGTGGAAACCATGCTTGTCTTCGCTGGGTGCTTCTGCATCAAGGCGCTCATGTAATTGCAGTCAACCTGTCAACCAGGGTTGCAGTTTCCTCTGAAAGCTCAACAGGGAAGGATCCATTTTTCTGAGCTCACTCATGAAGTTGTTTACAGAAGTCGGTTCCTTGCAGGCTGTTAGATTAGGGATCTGGGATCATAACTGGCTGTTGCCCAAAAGTCTCCCTCACTTCTTTGCAACCTGACCTCTCCATAGGGCAACTCAAAACATGGCAACTGTCTTCCCTCAGAGTCAGCAAGTGAGAGAGCAGGAGGGCACCCAAAATTGAACACGCTGTATTTTTATAACCTAATCTCAAAAGTGGGATCCATTACTCCTACCATATTCTGTTTGTTGAAAATGAGTCAATGAGACCAGTCCACAAGCAAAAGGAGAGGGTTACACAAGAGCACGAATACTAGCAGGTAGGCATCATCAGAGGCCATCTTAGAGGCACCTGCACACTCACTGTCCTATGACTGTATGCCAGGGGTCAGCAGCCATGGCCCAGTGGCTAAATCCAGCTGCTCCCTGTTTTTGTTAATAAAGTTTTATTGGAACAAAGCCATGCCCATTGTGGACAACTTGTTTATGATTACTTTTGCATGACACCTGCAAAGCTGAGTAGTTGCAACAGAAACTGTATGACCAGTAAAGCCTAAAAATGTTTATTGTCTAGCCCAATACAGAAAAGGCATTCTGGTTTCTGATGTATGGAGTCATAAAACATTTTTAAAACTGTGAAAGAGGAGATTGAGATAGAAACGCAAAATTCATCATTTGATTCAATTTCTCTTGGTGCTCTGGCATCATAAATATCATTGTGGGTGCTTCCATAAAGCAGTTATCTGAGAATTCTCAAAACAGTAGCAGCTTTGGGGTCTGGGTCAAGTGGGTGAGGTATGGCTTCAATTCCCTTAGTCCTCTGCTGTTCATTCACCACCACATATGGTCATTCTCCTTGCATTGGAAACTCACTCCCAAAACCTTTGACAAAAAGATGGATATATAACACAGTTATAATGACCTCAAGTAGCAAAGTGGATAATTAGCATAATCTGTGAGCCTGATGGACCTGGACTCCAAACTTGAATTTTATCAGGTTATTTCATTTATTCCAGTTTCAATTTCTTTATCCTTAAAATTCAGATTATAATACTGACCACATACTTTTTTGTCACTAAAATGCATTAAAGCATCAATACAGCTCAGTAGATGCCAGTCATCATGTGTAAAACATTTGATGGTTTCACATTGCCTGTTAAAATTTTCCATAGTGGAGCCTGTTAAAAGATGTCATATCTTCAGCCTGGCTCTCTCTCCACAGCATGTCTCCCTTCAGATCCTGTTGGGTGTCATCACCTTAAATCTCTGTCCTCATTAATGGCACCACCATTTACCTTGTCCCCTGCCTGAACAGAACACTGGTAGTCTTCCTAGCCTACTTTCTCACACTCTTGATTTCTTCTCTTTTGCTCAATCATATCTACTTTTGATTCTATCTTCCCGGTGGCTCTAGCTCTCAAATTTGTCTGGATCTTTATCCCATTGTCATTGAGAATGTAAAAGAGCTTAATGTCTTAGTTCAGTTCATAATCTCCTGGCCTTGAACCTCATAATCCTCTAATCCACTCTCCATCTTGTATTCGCCAGGAATTTTCTGCTAAAACACAAATTTGTTTAGATTGTTCTCCTGTTGTAAATCCTTTTTTGACTGCATTACCTGCTATGTTCTCTCTCTATTTCCTAAGTCTTCTGGGATTGTTTTTCCTTTATGATATTTGTTCCTAAATTTCCTAGTTTGAAAATATCTCCAATTATTCAAAGGATGAAAGCAATATAGAACTTGAGTATCTACTTTCCTGTTAACACAAGGACATAAATGAAAAGACACAATCTATTAAAGTTGATAAGAAATGTTTACAAGCAGTGATGATATATGACATTCATTATGGATTCCAGCAATAGCTCCAAGTGTGGTACAAAATATGCCCTGCACAAAAGCAAAGTCAGGGGCAATAATTTTCAACAGCGTGATCAGAATCATGAGGCGTTTGTATTTGGGCTGGGCTCTG